TCCAATCACTTTAGGATTTACACCACTGTTGCATTCTCTTTTTCAAGTGAATGATTACAATGAATACAAAACAAAGTTAAAAACATGTTTTCTATATGCCTTATATAGTTCAACATTTTACATATTGCAGGTGGATAACAAATCATCCCAGGAACCCACAAACAGTCTTACCCAAGCAACTATAGATTAACCATGTAGATGAGCAAGATATTCATCTCAGTCAGATCTTTTACTGACAAGATGTATAGTTACAAAAAAAGGGACCAATTACTTTATTGCTTTTCTTGCATGTTGATCTCATAAGGAATCGCAAGCCCAAACTTTTATATATGAAAAAGAATGAGTTAGCTCTATTTGAATTCTTTAAGGTACAGACCTACTCATCAAGAGTTTTTGTTTTATATCAGAAGACTGTGGACAGAAATGGGTATAAAGAATTAATCATCACTTTTGGTCATCAACTAATCCTAGCAAGAAAAACTTGTCAGCTAATAATCAGACTGCTTTGTTCTTGTTCCCTGAAAGAGTTCCTCACTCAACTCTGTGCCTTCCTAAAATTTTAGTTATCTTTCTGGGTTTTTCACCTCAAAACTACTTAACAGAAACATCTTAGTCTAACTTTAAGTTATTTTCAAAGCCTTGTTTCAGCTGTGCAAACAGAAACCTGAGAACACATCTCCCAACATTAAGATTAAAAGAATTTAAACTAGTCGTCGACTGGGACTTAATTGATTTTCTTAATCATTAACCTAAATCACAGTTTATATGGCTCCTCAATAGAAATTCATGTGTTCCTAGCTGTGTAACACTTCCTTGTTTTATTTTTAATCATCAAAACTCTATTTAATCTGACAGTATTATTATCAATTAGACAGTTCAGCTTAGGAAGAAATCATCTTCATAAAAACCCACAAGTAAAATACCCAGAAGAGCAGAATGTTTTCATGAGATAAACACACTGCATTATAGCCAGTGGAGATCTACCCAAACCCATCCACACCATATCAGATATCAGAGAAGACAGCACCACAATTCTGTAAAGGCACAGCAGAAGCAAAAGACATTCTGGGGTCTGTGGTCTCAGGGCCTATCTTTCAGATAGATTCACTAATCAGTCAGTTACCTCCTAATATGCTGACACTTTGAACTTCACTTGTCACCTGCTACTCCACTGATATGAGCAGCAGCAGCCTGAGTTCAGGACTCAGCACCCACACTGGGAAACTACCCAAAGCCCCAGAGCTGCAGAGGTTTCCAAAGTCTTTGATCTTACCAGGCATTACAATTACTTGTGTATTGATACAAAGAGATGCACAAGCACGTGTGCACATGCAATCCCCCCAGATACATACAGATGCACATACAGAGAGAGATACATACACACACAAGCACACACACACACACACACAGTGCATAAAGCAATTGCCATGCAGATATGAGAACCAGAGCTCAATCTTCAGAATGTACACAAATATTGAGTGGATGTGGCAGCCTCCTTATAATCCTACACTCAAAATCCAGAGAATGTGGAACCAAGGAGCAAGCTCACTAGCTAGATTGTATAGACATCCAAGTAGTGGGTAGGATTGAGAGACCTTCCTTGATGAAAAAGGTAGAAATTAATTGTGGTAGGAGAGCAACATAAGTCTGACATGCCAACACACATGGGAACACGCATAGCACACATACAGACACATTTTAAATATAAAAGAGAGTCTCCAAAGGTAAATAAAAAACATGTCTTAAAAAGTAGAGAACATTAAAAGGGTCATGATTCTTTTCTCAACATTATATAACCAGTAAGTATTCTTGGTGGGGAGATTACAGAGCAGCTGAGCTGTCAATCCTGCAGGGGGCTCCGTGGCTGCAGTTGTGGTGAATCATTGCTCTGCTGAGGGAGGCTGATTCAGTGATGCAGCTGCCATTGAGTGATCAGTGCTCCTGTAAGTTACACTCACCCTAATAAACCCACTCATTCATGTAGCTAGACCCGGAAGGTTTGTTTTCCTTGGTCTACCATAGGTGCCTATCTGGGGTCATTTGTTTGTGTTTCCCTGGGCAGATTTTACAACACAATTGCTGCATTGAAAAGGAACCAGAAGAATCAAAGGTGAGTTAAGGAGGTGTGGTTGTCTTGTCTTCACAATGGGTGCTGACAATTGGAAGTGAGGCTGTCCATGTAATTGGCCCCCTCAATCCCATATTCAGATATATGTGAATACAAACTAGATATATGTGAATAAAAAAGGGTAGATCTTGGTGTGTTGCTGGGACAAAGAATCCTGTCCATTTTCTATAGTGTTGTGTACATGCATCCCAACTAGGGGTGGGTAATGTCCTAGCTTGGTAGGTGCAGTGTTAATATTCACATGCAAAATGCATGCAGGTGAAGGTCCTAGGTTTCCCAGTGCATTGTCAGAAGAGTGTATGTAAATTCCAAGCCAAGTGAAGTCCCAGGATGTTAAGTCATTCTCATGTATGTGACTGCCTGAATGGGAAGACAGGGGACAATAAAAGTTCCAATAATACCCTAATAAACTCACTGGGTCATTATAGCAGACCTGGGTGGAATCACTTCTTTAGTTTGTCATCAGTGCACTAAATAGACATTACTTCATCTCTTCAGGAAAAGTCAGACAGGGGTGGGGATGTTTGGGCATCAATAGCCATTGTCACAATATTCAATTCAGTGTCACAGGCCCCAAGAAGGAATTTGTACATTGTTTTAGTTTGTTTCTGTACTGATGTAATTAAACACTAACCAAATCAGCTTGAGGGAGCAAAGGATTCAATTGGCTGCCAGGTTACAGTCTACCATCGAGGGAACTTAGAGTTCTGCCAAGGCAGGAACTGAAGTAGACTGTGAAGGAACACTGCTTCCTGCCTTGCTCTCCAGGGCTTGCTCACCCTGCTTTCTCACACATCCCAGGACCACTTTCCTAGGAATTAGGTCTCACCATAGTGGGCTGGGTCCTCCTACATCACTTATCAATCAAGAAAATGTCCCAGAGACATTCCCATAAGCTGATCTGATGGACAGAATTCTTCAGTTGAGAGTCCCTCTTCCAGCTGAGCCAATGTGGCTCAAGCCTCTAATCATAGTAGATTAGGGAGGATGAATCCTCCTCCCCAGGTATGTCTAGGTTTGTATCAAGTTGATAAAAGCTAACCAATATATCAAGCAAAGGTAAACTTCCTCACAATGATGTCTTAACTAAGGACAAAGAAACCTTTCCTCTTGTGTAGTTTCCTCTAAGAGTCCATATAAGATCATCTTATGAGTAACATGAATGGCCATGAAGCCTGGAAGTGATGAAATGTCTAGTCAATGTGTGGTGTAGTCTCGTGTTTGTGACACCAATGTAGCCTCCCAGACAAAGACTCCATCATATCAATCAGATTATTCAAGTTCCCTTTATATCTACCAAATTGACATCTTTCCTTTTTCAACCATTCTTCTAGTATTGAAAAACTGGAAATGATTTGTGCCTCATGTGTTTTGTTCCTCTTGTTGTTGTTGATGATGATGATGTTTGGTTGGTTGGTTCATTTTTTATTTGTTTGTTGGTTTTCTCATAGTAAAGAAAATAGTACATTTCAAGCAAAAAAAAAAAGGAAAACAAAATTCTTAGAAGTCTATCATGTGGGTGGGGTAAATAAAACTTTATGTGCGATATATTGAACTTTTGAAGATTTGGCTCAAATCAGTGATTACTGTTTCACCTCACCAGCTTTTCTAAAGGGTCCAGGTATGATGTCATCCACAGGAAACCACAGCCACATGTGTTTAAAACTGTAGTGGAGTGATGATCCTGTGCTTAGGGTCTGTGGCAACTAGGTTTGCATTCATTCTTAAACCTCAGGATAGTACAGATCACAAATACACACAAACACACACCCACATGCGTATACACCAGTTGGTGGAATCAGACGATATTTCTAGTTGCTCATTTCCAGGAGAAAAGATGTGGTAATAACTTTGTCTGTATGGAACAGAGCACAGCACTGACATGTCTCTAACAGAAAAGGGATGCTCCAGAGACTCACACTTGGTAGAACAGGACTCTATTACAGCATGAATCATAGTTGCCAAGAAGATAGCATTTGAGACCCCCCAGTGATGAGGCTTGCTGTAGTAGTGACTCTGAACCCTGGATATAAGGACATGGTAGTGACTAGGCTCTGTAAAGCCAGATGATAAGATACAATAAAATAAGCTGAAAATGACAAGTCATCGGAGGTCTTTGGGCAGTGATTACATGGGGTGATAGTCAATTTAGATGCCATTAGTTTTTAAGAAGAGGACGGCAAGTGTTCTTCGCATATGACTGGTCTTTGAACAAATCCTCAGTCATGTAAGACTGTTGATAACTGCTCTCCCTCAGGAGCCTGCATAGCACCCTCCAATACTGTGAAAACTATCCAGATGTCAGGAAGCTCTGGCTAGTACCATCAGTTCTCAATGTCTTGTGACTAAGTGTACGGTGTCTTCAGTGATAGAATCCTACCATCGAGTTCTGGTGAATCAAGAACAAGCAATAGATTGCATTCCTTGACAGTCTCTGGGATCTCCCTCCCTGATCAACAACTCAAGGGGAGGTATCCCACACTTGGCCCTGAGCTTCTTTGATGAGCTATGTCTTCTTGAATGAGCATCACCCTCTCACTTAAACCCCTTAAGCACACATAAAAAAGTAGGATTCAGTATAGTGTTCTCAGATACCCTCAGTTATTGATTCTTTCCCCAAATCCCTTCTCCTCGGCCCTGCCCTCTCATGCTCCTGCCTACTTAAATCATCTCCATTATCACCACCCTCTTTATACCATTTGTGTTCTGCCAACCCCTTTGGCATTATTAGTCTCGGTTCTCTTTCAGAACAAACCAATGGAATGAATATATGTATATTATACATACATAGTATGCAATAATTTATTAAGGCATCTTACATTGTAATAGTATCAACACATGAATCACAGTTAAGAGGTTTAGAACTTGCTGCTGGTTCGATATTTGATGGGGCATGCCTCACCAGTTCAGGTAGACCCACAATGGCTGTCTTTCACTAGGCAGGCCAACAACCCCATAGTATTTTGGACCACAAGACTGGGTAACTCCAAGGTCCCAATCTGGCACTGAAATTCTGGAAGCTTCCTTGAAAGCCACTGATGCAGAGTCCAATATGGAAGCCTAGAAACGATTGTTCTAATATCAGTGAAGAAATTGTGGCTGAGAAATTCAGACCCATGTCCCACCTTATCTGAAGGTCAGACAGTTTGGGGAATAACAATGCTTAATCCCACATTCTAGCACAGGAGGTGGCCACCTGGCCCCTTTTTGAAGTGAAGTAAATTCAGTGCCATCCTGACAGTTGGTCAGGATATGCTAATGTACCTCTGCTCCTACCTGGGGAGGAGGTGCTTTCTGTCTATGTAATCAAGTGTTGACCAAGTGTAGCTGACTTGAGTCATCCTTCTACCTAGGCAACAGGATGCTGATGAAGGGAAGTCTCACGCTTAATGTTAATTAAACCTCACCAACAGAACACAAGAGAGGGAAGAAAGAATCTAAGACAATGTACAGACTACTTGTTAACCTTGAGGAGAGCTTCATGAAACTTTTATGTTTCTATACTTTCTAAGACTTGTGATTTTTATTTACTTCCTAAATATTATTTTATATTTAAAATGTGTCCCTGTGTGGGGTGTACATGTTTACGTGTGTGTGGACATGTCAGGCTTATGTTGGGTCTCCTGCTCAGTTACTTTCTACCTTTTTCACCAAGGCAGGTTCTCGCAAATGAATCCTGAGCTTGTAGATCAACACAGTCCAGCAAGTCAACCTGCTCCATGGTTGCACTGTTTCTGCCTTCTGAGTGTGGAAGTACAAGGTGGCTGCCACATCACTGAACATTTATATGGGTTCTGGCAATTGAGCTCTGGTCCTCATACATGCATGACAAGTCCTCCATTAGAATGTTTGATTAGCTGATTAGTAGGAATTAGCTACAATGTACTTATTCATATCTTTTGTGTGTGTTTGTGCATTTTGGGTGTTGTATATGTCCATTCGTAGATGTGTGCATGTGTGTGCGTGTGTATTCAAGTGTGCAGGCGAATGTACCAGACTTTATTTTGGGCCACTAATTAGCTCCCAATCCATGACACAGAATTATTAGCTTGAATGCTGATCCTAACTTTGACTTTTTTTTGCTTAGCATACAACTTCTTTTTTGTTCTTTTTTTTCTCTCAGTTTTCTTAGGCCCTACATAAAAGTCCTGGCCCCATGTTGGAATGAGAAAATGTACCATGGTTTTTACACAAAGTAATATTCTGCAGCATAAAAATTGTAACACATCTTTGCACACTTAAAAGAATATTTCACAACAGGTGTAATTGAAAGACAGAGAGGCAGGCAGAGAGGGGAAGAGGGACTTGGGTTGTCAGACTGTGACAAAGTAAGAAGCATGGTCCATATCTTTAGGTGTCTCCATGGTGATAGTGGTTTGGCTAAAGAAAATATGTCAGAAGGGGGAATTCATCTAATGACTTCTTGATAGTAATTGTTTGTTCTTGTCATGGTCAGTAGCTGTGGTGAGTTGAGTTTAAACTGCTTTCTTAAATTTGTCTAAGGAGAACTTTGGCGTCTTCAGTCACTGTGTTAAGGAACAGAAATTGCAAGTAAAAGGTTTTCCTAAAGTAAACACCTGAAGCTAGGAGCCCACCATTACCTAAGGCAAGTTTCTCCAAATATCTCAAAAGCATTTCTCTGAATGTTTCTTCTTTCTTAGTTTCTAACAAATAAGGAGATTTAATGATTTTTTTCAGTTGTTCAACAGGCACTTGGGAATCCTTAGCCATGACTTGCAGGGATGCATCGTCCACTCCAAAGAGGACTCGGTAGTGGTTTAATTTCTCCTTCAGTTTCTCCACATGATCCATGAGGATGTCCACTGTAGGAACAGTAGCCAAAATTCCAGCCTGGCAGGCTTCCAACCAGACAGTCTGCTGCAGAGACTTGTGCTTTCTGTCAATGGCTGGTTCTGTAATATTAGCCAAGGAAAGAATAAAATTGTGGCGCTTTTGAGCAGGAAGATCCTTTATCATTGTGTCCATCAGGACTGGAAAATCATAGTCAGATAAATGTCTGTTAGAAATTAAGAAAATCTGTGACACATCCATGTTATTCTGACAGAAGGTGTTCACACACATGCTTCTGATCTGCTGCAAGGTCTTTGCTCTGTCAAAGGTGCGTGATTTACATTTCTTCTCATTGTCTAAATCAGTGTCCACCTTGGTTCTCACAAAGTAATAATTCTTTTTCATCAATCTGATTGTTTTGGCAAGGTCTAGTTCAAGTTTTGTAAAATGTGTGGCACAAAGAATAATGAAGAAGTCATACTCTTGGAATTTCATTTTCTCCAGATAATCTTTTGGTAGAAAGTTCAGAGTTCCAATGCCAGGCAGGTCCCATAAAGTCAAAGTTTGAATTTTGGGGTGCTTGTATGGAGTTCTCCTCATAGTTGTTGGTACCACCCCAACTTCAGCTACATCTTCTTCTTCAGGTCCAACCCCCCTCAGGGCATTGATGAAGCTGGACTTCCCTGCTCCAAACTCTCCAGTGACAGCAATGTTTATTGGGGCATTATCAATATTTTTTAATGCATCCCTGATTACAGAGTTTGCCCCCTGAATGTTTCCTTTTGCCAGGTGTAACTCAATTGAATCGATGGTTTCCTGGGGAATGATTTTGCTTTCTTTCTTGGTTTTCTTAAAATATGCTGTAAAGCTGGACTCTAAATCTCTATGGTCTTCATTCTTAGATGTATCAGAGAATAACTGATCCATGACTCTTGATAAAAGGGCCCTGAAAGAAGGAACGGAGAGTAAGTTGCAAGAGATTCAAGATGCCTTTATGCTTAACATTGAGTTCTTTATGTTGCAATCTCGGATGTGTTCTGATGTTGACCGTATATATTATGCTGATTCTTTTCTTTTTTCCCCCACAGGCCAAAGCAGATTCTTTATTCATTAACCAATAAAAGCAACACATATAAAGAGGACTTCCCACACCTTCCCCCTTTCTGTTTAAATAAAAAGGAAGATTTTAACTTTAACATAGTAAAATTACATACAGCAAGACAAGTATCAAGCAAGAAATACACTTACAATATTTATATCTACTTGTTTATCATATTCTTCAACTCCATCAAAGATGCCAGAAGGATATACTATTACCTAAATAAACAGGAAGTGCATTGTAAGCAGCTTCCAAATCTATCAAGATAAAAGAGACTTCTTGCTGCCTGGACAATTACTCAAAGTTTTTCTGTATTGTTGGGGCATCCATCTTCAGCCTACAAGCCCATAATATCCAGAAGACTTTTCAATGAAGCAGGAAATTTCAAAGACAGTTCCACCTATAATGGCAGTTTGTCAGTCACTTTCTTTTGTGTCTTGCAGAATGTCTTGCAGACTCTTTCATGAAGCAGGAACCCGAAGGACCATCTCACCTTTAGGCAAGTTCATTTGCTGATTATTTTCAATCAGCAAGATATAAGATGCAGTCCTTTTGGAGGAGAAAAATCTCATTTGAGGAAGTGCCTCCATCAGATTGGCCCAGGAGCATACTTATTTTCTTCATTGAATATTGATGTGGGAGCTTCCAGCCCACTCTTGATGGTACCACCCCTGGACTGGGTAATTTAAGAAAGCATTATTAAACTATGGGGAGCAAGATAGTAAACAATATTCTCCTTGAAGCATGATTAATTAAAAACTCAGAGAAAGAAATTGGGGTTCAACCTTGTAACATGAGGGCCTGCTTATTGGGGTTTCTGTCCTGCCCAGTTCCTGCAGCCATTATGCCCCAAAGAAAATCACACAGAGAGTCTACATTAGATATAAACTGATTGGCCCATTAGCTCAGGCTTCGTATTAGCTCTTATAACTTATATTAGCCCATTAATCTAGTATATGTTAGCCACATGGCTCAGTACCATTTTCAGTGAGGCAGATCACATCCTGCTTCTGTGGTGTCTGGACAGGACTGTGGAAGAATTTGGGCTTCCTCCTTCCCAGAAATTGTTCTCCTTATCCAACCTCTACTTCCTGTCAGGTTGTCCCACCTATACTTCCTGCCTGGCTACTGGCCAATCAGTGTTTATTTAAAACATAATTGACAGAATACAGAATTGTCTTGCACCACAACCTGAAGGCCATAAGGACAAACCAGGCATCCATTTGGTTCTTATGTCTACCTTAGTCTGAAATGGTGATCCTGCTTCCAAGAATCTCAGAAAGAGATTATGTCTGAGAGCTGTCTCTTCCCATTTTATAATCCTCTCTAGGACTGGGATTAAAGGCACACACCACTGGGATTAAAGACGTGTACCACCTGGTTTCTATGGCATCTAGTGTGGCTACTGGGATTTAAGGTGTATGTTACCTCTGCCTGGTCTGTAAGGCTGATCAATGAGGCTGTTTTACTCTCTGATCTTCAGGGAAGCTTTATTTATTAAAAAACAAATAAAATGTCACATCATCTCCTATCGATACTGCCTCTACTCCTGCAGAGTTTCTGCCCAGACTTTCCCCCATGATTGACTGTGAACAGAGTGTGTAAGCCTGAAAAACCCTTTTCTTTAGAAATTCTTTTGGTCATAGTGTTTATATTATAATCAGAAAGGAAGCTAAAACAAATTTTACTAACTCTCGGTTAAACCCTTCATTAAATAAAAAATAATACTTAAGTAAATAAAAATAATATAAAATGTACAGGTATCCTTTTGCCAGCATCATCAAGTCATCAAGTATAAAATCATGAGTAACTGTGTTGCATCTAATTAGAACTGGAATATATTTTTTTGAAATCTGAGATGTCTTTACCATCTGTGCACACTTCCCTCAGTGTTTGCTTTCAAATGAATAGAAATTTAACATACATCTAATTTTGCACACTGAAAAGTAAATAACAATAAATGGCAATTGACCTCAGTGTTTAATCAATGCCAAATCTCTCTAATGATCACACAATCTCGTTTTGCCTGTGTTATTTTGTTTTTAAAATATTTCTGCAAGTTCAGCTATTGCGTTTTGCTGAAATAATTCTAATTTTGCCTAGATTTACTCTCCTTCTATCATTTTCCTGACATGGAACTCATCTCCATGAAGAATATAAACTTAAAATAATACAAACCTTCTTCTACCTTAAACTCTGCATTGAAATGAATTTATTTAATGCAATATTTTTGTGTCCTCAAGTCATCATTTAGATTCACTATTTTCTTTTAAACCTTTTATTTTATGAAAGCAGTCTAACTGAGCACTGGAGATGTAGTTCAATTGGTAGAGAGTTTTCCCAGCACGAATAAGGCCTTGAGTTCAATCCCCAGCACCTCATGAAACGTAGGTGCTTGTGGATCCCTGTAATTCTGGAACTCAGGGAGTAGAGTAAGAGGGTCATCTTTGGTAGTGAGATTAACCTGGGCCCAAGTTCATTACAAGGCTCAACAGGTAAATACACTTGCTGCCAGGTCTAAGGACCTGAGTATAATTGTTGGGCATTTAGCTAGCTCAGATTTCCTATTTCTACCCTTTATTTTCCACAAACCTGCCTACAAGACCTCCCATGACAGCACAATGGACCTCACAATCAGTTATGGAAACAGCAAATGCTCCATTGTCATCCTGGAGCCTCCTCTTTCTGTGTCACCCAGATCAAATTAGTTCACAGGCTTAGGCTCTATTTCCTAATCCACTTACAATTGATCATTCCTCCTCCTTTACCCTCTGCAAGACCTCCTCGATTCCAGCTTTGATTATGTCATCGATATTGCTACATTTCCTGGGATTGTTTCTGCAATAACATGGATGATCAATCAGCCAGAGTTATCCTAGTGACACTGACGTCATACCATGTCAAGGCAATTCTGACAGGCACCACAAGGATTTCCGTTTCCATCAGGGAACATTCATTGGGTACACAGTGCACATGCTCCATACATTATACCTTTGAATACTTTTTGCATTTCTGGAGCCTCTGGTGTCTGGATTCCAGCCCCTTGGTATCTTGGGCTGTCTTCTCATCTCATCACTTTGAACCTCGCGACTGCTTCTGTGTCTTTTCTTCTCTCTCAGTAACCACATGGCTATTAATTACCTTTCCCTAGGTCCTGCTTCAAGTAGGCAGGATTCAGGATTTATATTCACATTGGGATGTACAAATATGCCTTCCTCTTATCATTTGCCATCCTTTCATTATGTTTCAGTTTCCCCACTGCTGCATAGTGTGTATTTGTTTTTCATTTGCTGTTACCCTCCCAAAATATAATGAACCTCATGCATCATAAAGTGCTTTTGTCTTGTTCACTTCTTTACCATCAACATGCAGATATATCACCAGGCTATTAAAGGGGGCTGTGAGGAAAACACTTGGACTTTACTGTGAACACTTGTGCCTGTTCTGTAGTTCTAACTGCTCAGTGGGAACCTGAAGTCTTAGTAGATTCATAGACAGTGGGTGCCAACAGTCTGGGGAGAACATAAAACAGTGTAATACAAAACAGAGGTGTTCTTAGAATCTTGCTGTGTATGAGCACAAGTGCAAACAGACTCAGAACACATACAGCCCCTCTCCAATCTACAAGACAAATGGGTACAGCTGTGCAAGAAACCAGAGCTGCAGAACTTTGTTCAGTCTGACTGCAGGCACAGGATGGGAAGAGGTGGTAAAAAGACTGTCCTGAAAGGGAAGCTAAACAAGATTAGATAAACTACATAGCCTCATTTACTGTTGAATGTGACAGTCACCCACAGGACACAGACAGCATGTCCCTGAAACACACGAGTTGTTCTCACCTTTTCAGTTTTTCTCTCTCATTCTTTTAGTTCTAGCTCCAGGATCTGTGATACAGACTCCAGTTTGACAGTTGTCTGCAAGGTCTTTCCACCGAGTATGAACACAGGGAACGAGAAGGCTGTGACAGAGCAAGCATTACAATATGATGCCTGTCTATGTTCTCACTCCTTCCACTCTTCAACTGGATCTTGGGAGCTCAGTCCAGTGATCTGATGTGGGTCATTGCCTCTGTTCCCATCTGTTGTTGGACGAAGTTTCTATGGTGATATTTAAGATAATCATCAGTCTGACTACTGGGTTAAGGCCAGTTCAGACACCCTCTCCTCTATTGCTTATGGTCTTAGCTGGGGTCATCCCTGTGGGTTCTTGGGCATTTTTTTAGAGCCAGATTTCTTGCTAACTCCGTAATGACTCCCTCAATCAAGATATCTCTTTCCTTGCTCTTATATCTGTCCTTCCTCCATCTCGACTATCCCATTCTCTCAAGTTCTCCCCAACCCCCTTTCTTTCTACCCATGCCTCCTTGTTCCCAAATTTTTGTCTGTTTCCTATTTCCAGGTGGATATATATATATATATATATATATATATATATATGTAATTTGGTTCACCTTATTACTTAGTTTCTCTAGGATCCTGAACTATAGGCTTGTTGCCCTTTGTTTATGACTAGTATCTACTTATGAGTGAGTACGTACCAGTTTTTTGGGGTCTGGGTTACCTCACTCAGGATAATGTTTTCTAATTCTGTCCCTTTGAATGCAAAATTCAAGATGCCTTTTTTTTCTGCTGAGTGGTACTCTAATGTTTATATGTGCCACACTTTGATCCACTGAGACAGTTTGCTTGAGCTAACGGTAGCTCACCAACTCCAACTGGACTGGGAATGAATGAGCATGGGAACAACCAAGCACCTCTGAAGGGGGTTGACAGTTGGGGCAGACTGAGGGGCCACTGATAGTGACACTGGGATGTGTCTCTACTGCATATACTGGCTTCATGGGATCCTATTCTCTTTGGATGTAATCTTGCTCAACCTAGATGTAGTAGGGAGGGACTTGGACTTTCCACAGGGCAGGGTGCATGGCACTCCCTTAGGGTTGAGGGGTGGGGTGAGAGGCTCTGTGGAGGGAGAGGGAGGGGGCTGGGAGCAGGGAAAGGAGTGGGAATTTGGATTGGTATTTCTTTTAAGTAATAAAAAATAAGTAAATAAAAAAGTAAAAAAAATGATGCCTGCCTAAATGACAGCTGCCACCACACCTTGACAGAGATCATGCCCCTCACAGGTGGAGGGAAGCTCCTTAACACTCCTGCTTTACAATAAAGAAAACCACAGTAAAGAAGATTCTTCAGGCACAGATTTCCATAGACAGCTGCAGCAGTGTGCAGAGAGACCTCTTCTTCACAGATAGGAGGCCTTGGGATGTAAGGAATTAAATAGTTGACCATGAACTAGGAAGCATTTTTAGATGAGACTCAATAAACATCCTACACAATGCAGAGATACTCCATTACTTATTAACAACCATTTTTTTTTATTTTTTTGGAGAGGAATAAGAGACAAGCCAAAACAACTTGAGTTTTTACCCAAATCAATATTGAGATAGTTTCCTTTATGTCTACCTTAACTTGAATGATTCGTTCCAAACTGAGGCCCCCCACTTTCAGGACATGTTTCTAAATGTACTGTTACCTGTCATCTCTTTAGAGATGGTGAGGGTTCAAGGTAGATCTGAATGCTGCTGTCCACTTACCAGATTATCCTGTGTCCAGTGGGTTTGCTCACAGGGTTTAGCTGCAGGAACCACGCTCCACTGTGCTACAGTCTTTTCTCTTGTATCCCTTCTCTGCTTCCTCTGTGGATAAGCCGCAGGTTCAAGTCAGCAGGGCGGGACTTATCACTCTTCTGACTTCTGCCCCTTCCCTCTCAGTGTGTTTTTACCAATCATCTAAGCGTATGGATCTTGTTGTTTTTATGTATCACCTGTACTTCCAAGAAGAAGAAAGAGAAAGTGAAACTTTTGGCTGTTTTTCATTCTATTATCTCTTCATTTCTTGGCAGCAAATGATAGACAGTCATAAAATAATAACAGAGTGGAATGTAGCCTTTGGAATCGGGCAACATGGGCAAGTATCTGACTAGATAGGCAAGAACACAACCCTTGAAAGGTAATTTTTCTGATCCCTGACTTCACAAATGCAACCTGAACTGGTCACACAAAACATTGTCCCAAGTCCTGTGCAGAGGTCATTTTTTGTCTCATTCAAGAAAATACTCATTTTATCCCCCTCTAATTTCTCATGGTTGTAAATTCACATTTCTTAATTCTTCTCCTTCTCAATTCCCCTGTCTATGCTGCTATTCAGTCCAGCACAGCTTGGCAGGTCTTACACCTGCTGTCACAACCATGGTGAGTTCATATGTGGAGCTGCCGTGCTGTGTGCAGAAGACAATGCTTCCCTGTCACCATCCACCAACTCTGGCTCTTTCAGTCTTGTCATCCTCTCTCCCACAACCATTCCTGTGCCTTTAGAAGAAGCATTAATATATTCCATTTAGGGCTGGATAGTCTTTCATGTCCTAGTCTCTGTGTCTTGGTCTGGGTTGATGATCATCTGCTGCAAACACAAGCTTCCACGATGAGGGTTGAGAGATGCCTTGTATCATTATACCCATGGCTTCTATCATTATATCCGTATCCATCCTATGGGTATAACGATAACTCATTTGGAGGTAGCTTAATATTATGTTCATGACAATTACATAGTGGTAGTTTCATACAGTTACAGTTGTTCTCAGAGTTAATATAATACTCTGGGAATACCAGGGCAGAGAACCCTGATTGCTCTTTGGGCTGATGAGGGAGGGGGACTTGATTGGGGGAGGGAGAGGAAAAGGGGAGGCGGAGGTGGGGAAGAGACAGAAATCTTTAATAAATTAAAAAAAGACAGTTACATGTATATGAAACATTAAGTGGATCTCCTACTTAGATTTGTGTCCACTCCTCATGATGGTTCAATGTGCATATTAAATATTAAAAGAAAACTCTGAAAAGAAAAAAAAATACTCTGGGAATAGTATAGAGCTTACACAAGGCCTCCAGACCTCTTGTTTGAGGAATTATTTTCTGAAGTTCAACACTAAGAATTTCCCATCCATGTCTCACCTGGACACTTCCAATGCTTCATCAGCTTTATAACATTTTTTTTAAAGGAAAAGGGACAAGATAAAGTCAAATACTACTAAACTGAAGCAGAAAAAGAAAGGGTGAAGATGAGAGTAAAAAAATGGTTGCACAATACAGACAAAAAATAAATAAAAAAAATCAGATAAACATTTAAGGGGTGGTGCTGGAGAGATGGCTCTGGGTTTAAGAGCACGTGCTGCTCTTTCAGAGGAGCAGGGTTTTCTTCCCAGCACCCACATCAGGTAATTCACACCACCTGCCAAGCCAGCTGCAGGAGTTCTCATGCCTCTGGCCTATGCAACCCTCCAAATAGCATATATCACACAGATAAACACACATGCACACAATTAATAAAATAATTAATAAAATAAAATAGATCTTAAAATAACAAACGAGGAGACAGAAAATTAAAATAAAACCAAGGAAATATACCATCAAATGTATAGGCATAAAAATTAAGGGACGAAAGGGAAAACATTTGCTGTTCTTCTTCAGTTGCTCCTCCATCTTAGTTTTTAAGACAGGGTCTCTCCTTGAACTTGGAGCCCACTGACTCAGCTAGATGGGCTCTCCAGCAAGCTCCAGGAATGTTCTTCTTCCCATGCTCCCAGAAGTAGGTTTTGAACATGTTTCCCAACCTCTGAAGTTTCATGTGGATGCTGGAGATTCCAATAAATGTCCCCTTGTTTGCATAGCAAACACATACCTGACAGTGTCCTCCTAGTTCTCTCATGAGTGCAGTTCTATCTGGTCTGATAAGGTGGGCATTGAATACTGGCTATCTCATGCCCAATTCTCTCTGTAATGTCTGTCCTTTCTTCTTTATATCATGGAACCCTTTCATGTGGTGACCACGGGTTCCTAATGGTTCCTGTGGGACTGTCCACCAATGAATGACGACCTTGTGTTGCCTTGGATTATGTAACCTCTACCGCAAGGAGAACAGGCAGTTCTATTACTCTGTGCACTCGCCGCGTCCTCAGGTTCATTCAGTTATCCTCACATCCCACAGCCCCATGAACTAGGGGTGGGAGTCTCTGTTATTGTTTGTTTAAAAATTCCAGTTAGAGCAATTCAGTCTGTTGTGCTCCTTGATTCTCCTAGTGTCCTGTCATAGGTTATTCTTTAGGTCCCCAGCTGCTTGTTGAATCATGGAATTTCTTACTCTTTGTATGAAAAGGTGGGGCTTCAGGGTTATCTTTTATCATTTTTACCTTGTTTTTTTTCCTCTTTGTCCTTCAGTTCTTCCCATAGGTTCCAAGTTTTAGGATCCCAGGAAGACCTCTTTAGTACAGATCTAATGTAATTTGTGCTCCCTGCATTCTGCCACCTGTGAACTAGCAACACAATATCTCCATTTCATCTTCCTTTTATCTTTTGACCCCATCAGGTCAGTGCTGGTGTGAAAGACAGCATTTGCTTGTCCAAGGCTGATGCTGACTCTTTCTCTGTTATCTTTGACCTTGTTCATTGAGGCCAGTGCTCACAACTGAACCTAGAGCTTGCCTATAAAGTTAGATTAGTTATTCACCTTAGCCAGTTTGCACTGCAAATCCCTGGTCTCTGTTTGAGAGAGCTGGAGTTACCTGTATCCACTCACTTTGTACATGGGTTATAGGGATCTGACCTGCAGGGTTCTTGCCTGCACAGCAAGCACTTCATCCACCGAACCATGTCCCCAGTCCCTTCTTTTTGAGAATGAGACAATTTCAATGGAGACACAGCTATATAACAGCTCATATGTGTGCGTGTGATCATGTGTAAATGAGGGTGCTTAAACTCTTCTTTGCATGTTTAGAGTATAGAGGTTGACAGTGGCTGTCTTCCTTGATCATCCACCAATTTTTTTTTTTTTTTTCTTGAGATAGCGTTTCTCACTGAGTTTTGAGTTCATCTATTGCAGGGAAAGGAGCCTGCTTATTTTTCCCAACATCCCAGTTAGCTTAGCCCCGAAATAACCATACAGAAACTGTATTAATTAAATCATTGCTTGGCCCATTTGCTCTAGCCTCTTATTGGCTAACTCTCACATCTTGATTTAAAACATTTCTGTTAATCTGTATATTGCCACGTGGCAGTAGCTTACCAGGAAAGAGTCTAACCAGGTTCCATCTCCAGTGGATCCATGACTCTCTGACTCTACTTTCTTCCTTCCAGAATTCAGTTCTGTTTTTTTCCCGCCTACCCAAGTTCTGCCCTATCAAAAGGTCAAGGCAGTTTCTTTATTCATTAACCAATGAAAGCAACACATAAACAGAAGGACCTCCTACACCATTCATTAGTCAAGACAAGGTGGCCTGTGATTTCTTGAGATCCTACTGTCTCTACCTCCCAATGGTGGCATTACAAGTACATGCCATTTAACTCACCTTTCTTTATGGTTGCTGTGGGTCTGAGCTGAAGTCTTCATGCTTGTGCAGAAAACCGTTACCATTGATCTATTTCTCCAAGCATCAACTACTCATGTCTTAATTATTGCTGTTCATCACCAGCACTTTCAGAGAACCCAAAAATTTTTAAAATGTGACACAGTTTAATGTAACTCATCTTATTTCTTCCTTCTTTCTTGCTCCTTTTGGTCTGCATTATTCCTGGAAGGAATCATAATACTTTCTCATTTTGCAAATTTTATTTAGCTATGTTTTTACATTTGTTTGTTTGTCTCTCTGTGTGTATGTATAGGAGCGTACATTTGTCATGGTTTGTGGGTAGAGACCAGAGGATACCTTGTGGGAGCTTATTCTCAGCTTCTATCATGTGAATTCTGGGGACTCAGTTTAAATCTTCAGACTTGGCATACAGCATTCTTAATCACTGTGTGCTGATATTTTGTTTGTGCTCTAACAAGTAAAGCTTACCTGAAGATGAGAGTGAGAGGCTTGCTACTAGCTAACCACAGAGGTCTGGAGGTCTGTATAGACAGACAGGCAGTGATGTGGCTGGGCAGAGAGAGGAGGTGGGCAGCAAGGTGGAGACAGGAGTTCCTTTTCTTTTTGGTTAAGAGGTGTAGAAGATCTCTAATGGCTGGATGCTCTGCTTCTCTGATCTTTCTGCACTAGTCTCTATATCTGACTCTGGGTTTTTATTTATTAAGACCAATTAGAATTCCCACTACATCTAGCGCTCCAACTTTAGGGCACGAATTCATGAAAAAGCCGCTTGCTTGCCTGTGGTTTGTGTTCACACTCATAGACTGGAGCTATTCATGGTTGGAGTCACAGCCCTGACAGTCAGGTTCTTCTCTCCTTTTCCCTAAGATCTGAGCAGGTCTGGGATATTTCTTTGCGGCCTACATGCAGCAAACGCCTCAGAAGCCTGGGCTCCAAACACTGCCAGAGTTAGCCCCTCACCAGCAGCTGGTTCTCCCTTCAGGCAGCTCATGTTTCTTCCTGCATGATCCCTGGTGTGCATTTTTTAGACAGTGGGTTCCCTCTCCTGGTAGGTGTGAGCAATCCCTCCTGGGATTGCTGCCTTTAAATCCACTCAGGCTTCTACTGCTCTCCTCAGCAGCAGTCAGCTTTGCACTCCATCGTAGTGTACGTCATCATTGGCGGCGGATTTGCTGAGACAATTGGGAATTTTTAAAGGTGGGGGAATTTTTTTTTTAAATGAGAATGAGCACTTGAGAGGCAGAGGCAGGCAGATCTCTGGTGAGTTTGAGGCCAGTCTGGTCTATAATTTGATTTGCAGGACATCCAGGGCTATTACACAGAGAAACCCTTTCTCAAAAAACCTAAGGAAAAAAAGAAACACTTTGACAATGGTGGTTAGGTCTCTGTATAATAA